AGGAGGCAAACCCCACATGCAAGCAGCGCACAAACTACTTGGAGCTATCAACGCTTATCTCCGTATCAGAGGACACAGCTGCAGCCGTGCACTCTCCAAGAAATTCGCAGCCTCTGAACTGGACTGAATCAGGTGTCGGGGACAAGAAGCGAATCCAATCTCGAGCTCCACTCCGTCAAAAGCGGCCCCTCTGCTTGTGGACACAATCGCCACACAGTCGCCGACACCCCTAAGACATAAACATGACTACAGCCGTCCGGAAAATCACTCGTACATCCAGTTGGCAACGCTCTTCGCCGGCGACTGCAGCCAAACAAGCCATATAACGAACGAAAAGGGGATGCTGAAAGAGCTACAAAAAGCGCCGATCCAAATTTTTGCCAATGGTGAAAAAATCCGTCCTTCAAACCCAAAAGGCCCCAGCAAACCGGGCTTCCACGGAACACAAAACCTCGCAGTCGAAAAGCACCCCAAGAAACCACAAAGAAAGGAAGCGGACAACATCGTCCCAGAGGCCCCCTTGGAGCCTTGGACACAGACTCAAACCCGGTGCACTACTATTAAGTCTGCTAACCTCCCTGGTCACTGAACTTTTGGCCCTTCACCCTCGTAGGCAGCAGAGCCATTGTTGAACTGCTTGTCCACCAACTGCCTCAGCCTTTTCAACAAACTCGGCGATGTTAAACAGTCAGCTTGCCTTGACAAACCATCCATAATCGTACACATAGAGACCTGGCTCACACCAGATGTCTCTGACGCAATAGACGGTTACTCTGTTTTTCGAGCTGACTCAAAACGAGGGAGGGCTGGTGGGGTTGCTCTGTACTTACATACGGCCCTACCAATCCCGATTGTCTTCTCTGATACCAATCGTGCGCACTTTTGCGATGCATTGTGGGTCCAAATCCCGCTGCGCGGGCTCGATTCTCTCCTTCTAGGCGTGGTCTACCGAAGCCCTTCAAGTCCCCCTGAAGCTGACCAATTCCTCATACAAACGATTGAGCAACCCTCCTCCAACAACCACTTCACTCATCTTCTGCTGGTGGGGGACTTCAACGCCCCAAAGACCTCCTGGATTGAGCTCCAGTGCGTCGAATCAGGCGGATGTTTTGCCGCGGCGCTGTTTGAAATCGTTCTTCAGAGCGTTTTAACTCGAAATGTCGTTGCACCCACCAGATACCGTGCAGGCCATCTACCATCCCTCCTGGATTCGGTCATCACCAAAGAAAGTCACTTCGTTTATCAGGTAACAATTAACGCCCCACTGAAACATACCGACCACTGTGTGCTGACCTTTGATTTGGAAAATAGGTCCCAACTCCTTTTCAAAAGTTGACTACAGGGGATACAGAAGATGAGCTGGCATTTCGTTAAATGCGGAACCGCTGCAAATCGGAAATCCGCCAATGGAACATACGAAAACAAACCACCATCCTGGACCTCCCTTGTAAAAGCAAAAACGTATTGTTCAAATACATGAGAAATCACCTCAGAAACAAGCGATCCGCGTACTTTTTGAGGGTAAGAGACGGAGAACCGACAAATTACCCAACAGTGGTATCTGAGGTTTACACTATGCGTGTCTATACTCAGAACCAGCGTCCTCGTCACATCCACTCTTGTCAAGGCGGAACTACGAGCAGCCTCGTACCGACTTGGTCTTCACGGTGGAGGACATTCGTCAACTCTTGCACAAGATCAACCCATTCTGCGCATTGGGACCCGACGAGGTTCATCCGAGGATCCTGAAAGAAACGTCCTCCACACTGGCAACCATTTACAAACGGTGTTTCATCAATCGCTTGACGAAGGCCGCCTTTCCTCTGCTTGGAAGGAAGCGGTTGTCAGGCCAAACTACAAAACTGGTGACTGACTATCGCCTGGCAGCCATAGGCCTATAAGCCTCACTAGCGTGCCGTGCAAGGTGATGGAACGCATTCTGAAGCGAGCCATCCTAGATCACCTTACATCCAGCAACCTAATATCTCCAGCTCAACAGGGATTTCTCCCAAAGCGCTCTTGCGTGACAAACGTGCTCGTATATGGACAGCTTAACCCAAGTCAAGGACGAAGGACTCATATCGGATGCCATATTTTTCGACTTCTCAAAAGCATTTGATAGGGTCCCACACGACTCGCTGCTCCACAAACTCGCGTCCTACGGGATTCAAGGGAAAATCCTACACTAGAAGGAAGCGTTCCTATCAAACTGATCATTCCGGGTGAGAATAGGCTCGACCTAATCTTCTCCAGCGCCAGTCTCCATCGGAGATCCTCAATGCTCCGTCCTGGGACCACTTTGTTTCTGATCTACGTCAACGACCTCCCAGATGTTCTTGCAAGTCCATGTCCACTTTTTGAGGACGACTTGAAATCCTGGAGTTCCAATGCCAGTGCCCTCCGAATGGATGTAGACGCTGCCAAGCAGTGGTCGTAGGTCTGGCACCTTCCTCTGAATAGTGAAAAGTGGGTCCATATGTCGTTTGGAGGGGATTCAGCGAAAGCCTTTGTTATGCACGGTGAAAAGTCTCAGAAAACATGATGAGGATAAATCCCAAAAAGTATTTGAGCATCTGGGTCTCCTTAAACTTGTCCTTCTCACTGCACCATGAGAAATCGTCCCAAAAGGCATTCGCCATTTTACGGATGATCCGGCGCACCTTTCCCCGTATTACTCGCATGGACTTCCAAATACTCTATGGGTTCTACGTCAGATCACTCCCCGAGTACGCCAACCAAGTTGTCTACTCATTACGCTCGAAAGACGTCACCCTCATTGAGCGTGTCCAACGTGCCGCTACGAAAATTGTTGTCGGCCTCAAATTCGCGGACTACGAAACGCGTCTCGCGATGCTTGATCTCTTTCCCCTGGAGAACCGTCGCCCCAGAAAGGAACTAATTCCTACATACGCCCTGTTTGAACAACGCTTGGCAAACAGGTTTTTCACCGTTGACTCAGCAAACATACGGCGGGGACATAGTAAACAAAATTTCAAGCTCAGAGCCCCCACATTCTTTAGACAAATTTGTTCTCATTTCAGTAGTAGCTGCGTGGAATGACCTTCCTCTGACGGTTGTCCACACCCCTCTAGAACCCANGCAAATTATTTTGAACGCTCCGTTGACAGTTATTTAGCCACCCAACTCCACGTTGCCGAGATGACCTTGATGAGTAGTGAAAACTTCCCAAGTTAACCTAAGAGCATTGGCTAATAACCAAGTTGCAGCCGGCCAGGACTACGTAGCGTCATTTGTGCAAGAAATACAAAACGTCAAACCTACTGTTGGAATCATAGAAACGCTTATGGTAAAAAGCGCTCTAGCGGTTATTTGTGGTGGATAATAAGTCTGTGGTAGCTGGTTCGATGTGCCTATGTGCTTGTGTGGCCGCATGTTCGTTTGCTTATCACTGTGAAACGTAATCAGAGTTGGAAACACAGATTTACGAAGCGTACATGTTTGGTCACATATGCACAATAAAAATGACATTACCTGTTTTCCAAGTTGCCGCGAACTTGCAATAAAATTAACAACCTCAGTTTACTGACCTTTAACGGATTTTTCTGAAAGTTCATTGGGAGCGTGCATACATTATGGTTCGCGACATATGCGTTTTATGTTTCTAAGAGCAGGACCAAGATACTTTAAGCGGTGAGTTAGGAAAGATATGTGAATTTAACATACCTACTCCAAAAACGACCGATATAAACCAGGTAATAATTAAGGATCTATTGACGTCCTACAGAACACAATTNGGCTATAATTAAGGAACTAGTAGCGGCCTACAGAACAGAATCATTGGGCACAAAGAAGCTAGCACTCTCAAAGAGATTCCGCGAATAAACAACACTCACCAAACTAAGCCTATATCCATAAACGTGACTGTCAGCAAGCAGCAAAGCTTCAACTGAAAATCCCCATTCCTCCTGACAGTTCGACACTTGAAGGTCCAGCCAACAGATGATTCTATACCCTGTTGAAGTGCAACTTATGCTCACTGCTGCTGGTGGTTTAAGACAGTGGATGCTCAATAGAGTAGCCAAACCTCAACGCTTGAAAACTTTGCGCTGACGTTTTGTATCATGCACGGTCATGACAATTTCCAGTAAAAATTACGCTAGTGTATTACACTGGACTTTCCAGCAGAGACTGACTTCACGGACACACACAGAAGCTACAGTTCCTGATGTATGAAGGAATTTAGCACAAATTCTCTTGGGCGCACATTTGCAGAGGTTGAACTTTGAAACACTAATTGGAAAATCACGTAAGCAGAGTTCTATTGTAACTGCATTGGTGCCCATTTAATTTCCCATCCTATGTCACTGAATGTTGGGTGTTCAACACATTGACCAATGCCCCAGATGATTTCAGGTTAACCTCAGAAAAATCTACTGTGTAACGCAAGCAATAGTACAGCATTCATAACCGATTGTCGCTATATCGGACAGATGACATACGGAAGTCTTGCCAGTTTGGGCTTAATTTTGGAAGCGCACTCAAATTCATTACTTTTAGTGACGATTCCTCATGGAGTGCCCAATTTTACTTATCTGGTTGGCTTAAAAATTCCTTTTTTAAATCCGAACACATAGTAACGTCTGCAAAATTTCAGTTTTGAAGAGTGTAAAGCCGAATTTTATCAAGTGGCTAATGAATCAACTAGCTAGGCGA